CTCAGCATATTGTCCTCAAAAGTGGTCCATGTTGTGTAGTGTTTTATAAGTTTTGTTTTGTTTTCTGTAATGCTGTGTGAATGTACTGCCATTTCTCTATCCATTCGTTTAGTGATGGAATGAGTCTTTTTTTTTTAATGTGCTTTATTTAGATACTGGGGAAGTGAGAGAAAATGGGAGCACGGATGCCTTAATAATGGTTTTCTCACAGCTCAGAATCAAGTTAGACTTTTTTAAGGAGAACAGCCAAAGGGAGTAAATGAGGGCAAAATGAATGTGGAAAAGATCCAGGAAGGAAATGCCCAGGAGTCTGATAATGTTGTATGTTTTCTGACATCTTTTCCTGTGATGGTGTCAGATGTCCTGTGTTTGATGTTTGAGGTAGATAGTTACCAAGCTTCCTTGCTGATAATACATTGTTTAAGTAATTTCTCAGTATTTTTATGTCAAGTAATTTGATCACAAATCTTCAGTTCCTGGAATAACAGTCTTACAGCAAGCTAATCAATCAAATGAAAAGATTTTACATAGGCATCTTTTACTATTCTAAAACTTATAAACCATATCTAACAATCAAGTTAAAGGACCTGACATAGACAACTTTTACTATGGGCTTCAACTTATAAACTATGGTTGACCGCCTCTTGACATCATTATCTATGGTTACAACTAAGAGTTTAAAAGTTGGACAACAAATAAGGGAGACCAACGAAGAATGGATGGCTTTGCATTGTGTTGTTGGAGAAGAGCATTGAGTATCTCCTAGAGTTCCCAAAGTAAGTCTGTCTAGGAGGAGGTGCAACCAAGGAGCTCCTGAGAGGCAAAGATGGTGAAACTTTAGCCATGTGATCAGGAGAGAAAGTCCTTGGGGAAAGAAAAACAAAACCCATAACATATTTGGAATGGTAAGGTCAGTGAAAGAGAAAACTTTTGACAAAATGGATTAACACATTGACTTTAACAATAGGCTCAAGCATATTGAATAGGTTGAAAATGGCAGAGGATAGGAAAAGATTCAGATGTTGTTAATAGGGTCATTACTAGTTACAGACCTGGCCAGGTGCTGAAAACCATCAATTACTTATGTGCAAGTTCAAATAGAAGTAGAAGAAAAATTAAAATAATCCCACAAGAACCAAGATAGGATATTAAGTCTATGGCACTTAAGTTTAAAAATCATCTTCAGAATAGGTTTGAGGTATTGAATACTAATGATTGAGGATCAGATGAGTTATGGCTTGATATTAAAGATATAATTCAAGATGAGAGCACAATGTTGTTACAGAGGAGGAAGAAATGACCAAAATGGATGGTGGAATAGACTCTAAAAATTGCACTAAAGTGTCAAGAAGTCAAAACAAAGGGGAGAATCTCAGAAGTAGTAAGCAAGTTGGATGGAAGATTTCAAAGGGTAGTTCAAGAAGGCAAAGCTTAAGTGTTATAACAGAACATGCATAGAACTGGAATTGAAGAATAAAAAGGGAATAACTCATCTGGAAATTCTTAAATTGAAAGAGAAAAATAAATCCAAACCTAGAGTTGCAACAATGAGAGATGTGAGGGATAAAATCTGCAATGATCCAGGAAGCATTAAAAAAAAAAAAAAGAAAGAAAACAGACAGGAATATACTGAGTCACCTTATTAAAAAGAATTGGTTGACACAGAAAAAAATTCAGGAAGCACCATGTCATCAAAAGCCTATGACAATGAAGGGAAAAGTTCAAGCTGCACTGAAAGGCATTGGTAAAAAATGAGGCCCCAGGAAACCATGGATACCAATTGGCATATTTTGACTAATAGATACAGTCCCTGGACTTGCTCACCGGTCTGTGCCAGAAAATTTGGAGGACAGCTACTTGGCCAACTGACAGGGAGAGATCTTTATTTTTCCCCATTCCCAAGAAAGATGATGGAACAGAAAGTGAAAATTATGAAAAAGATCATTAATATCACATGCAAACAAAATACTGTTGAAGATTATCCAAAACCAACCAGAACAGTATATTATGAGAGAACTGCCAGAATTTAGAGCTGGTTTTAGAAGAGGTCATGGCACCAAGCCTATTGCTGATTTCAAGAGGAACCTAACTGAAAGCAGAGAATACTAGAAGAAGGTTTATCTGTGTTTCACTGGCTATGCAAAGTCATTTAACTGTGTGAATGGTAACAAATTATGGTTAACACTAAGAAGAATGTGAGATTAGGATCAGAGGGAAATTCATCAATAATCTGCATTATGCACATGACACAAAATTGCTTGCTGAAAGTGAGAAGGGCCTGAAGAGCTTGTCCCAGAAGATGAATGACTAAAGTCTTCAACATGGATTGCATCTCAACATTGAGAAGACAAGATTCCTTACCACTGAGGGAGCTCTGGTGGCCTAGTGGCAGGAAGTCATACTGCAATACCAACGGCACTCAGAATCCACCAGATATTCTGCTGGAGAAGGAGGAGTAACTTCCTCCTGTGCTAGTTGGATCTGATTTGCTGTACACAACAAGAAAAATAACAACTACCACTACAACAACCCACCTCTTTATTACTGGACAAATAAATAATATCATGACAGATGGAGGAAAGATTGAAGTTATAAATTATTTCATCTTATTTGGACCTACAATCAACATCCTTGGTGTTAGCAACCAGGAGATCAGGAACCTATTATCAGAGACCTCTCCAAATTATTGAGGACCAGTGATGTCAGTTTGAAGTCAAGGTGCACCTGATTCAGGCCATGCTCTTTTTCCATGTCTTCCTATGGATCTGGGAGATTAACAATGAATAAAGATGACAGAAGAAGAATTGATGCCTTTGAGCTGTAGTGTTGGAGAAGAGGTACTGAATATCCTATGGAATGTCAAAAGAACAAACAGATATGTTTTGCAATAAGTACACTCAGAATACTCCTTGGAGGCAAAGATGACAAAGCTTTTCCTCACATATTTCGGGCATGTTGTTAGGAGAGCCTGCTCTTTGGAGAGGAACAACATGCTTGGAAAGATAGCAAAAGGACGGAACACTCTGAATTAAATGGATTGACACAATGACTACAGGAATGGGCTCAAGTGTGTCAGAGACCATGAGGATGACACAGGACAGGGTTCAGATCTGTTGCTCAATAGGGTCGCTGTGATTTGGACTCCGTTTGAGGGCATCCAACAGCAAGAAGATGGAGCTATAGTGGCTTTGATAAGGAGTTGCTGCCTACTGAAAGGCATTAGGTTTTAATCCACCCGTTGCTCTAAGGGAGAAAGATGGGCAATCGCTCATGCAATTTACTGCCTCTTGAAAATCTGCTTGAGGATCAGTCACGGTTTAATTTCAACCTGATGATACATACTACCAAACCATAGCATATACCATTTATCATACGATACTTAAGAGTTAAATCCTCCTTCCCCAGAATAAAACATAACAAAATATACCCAGAGAGTTAGAAAGTACAAGCTCAAATTGTACTCTAAAAGTAATTCAAGACAAAATTAAGACAATTCAATTTATTGGTCAGATGTTGTAAATAAGTTCGTTGTTGTCTGCCATTGAGTTGCTTGCGACTCACAGCGACCTGATGTACAACAGCTCTCAACCCTGTTCTATCCTGAGCCAATCTCAGTTTCTTTGATACACCTACCATCATGAATCCATTATTGTATCAATCCATCTTATCCAGTGTCTCCCTCTCTTGGGCTGTCCCTCCATCCTTCTAAGCACAATATCCCTTTTCAAAGACTGGTCCCTCCTGGCTACATGCCCAAAGAATGTGAGACAGTCTCAAAATCCTTGCCTCCAGGAGCAGCTTGGTTTTACCCTCTCTAGGACAGACTTGTTAGTTCTCTTGGCAGTCTTTGGTATTTTTAACATTCTTCTCCAGAACCACAACTCAAAGGCATGAGTTCTTCTATCATCTTGGTTATTATCTAGCTCTCTGATGTATAGCAAGTAATTGTAAAGACCATGGCCTGGATCAAGTGCGCTTTAGTCTCTAGACTGATATCATTGCTCTTTAAAACTCTGGAGAAGTCCCGGACAGCAGATTTTCCTAATGCAATTTGTCTTTTGATTTCCTGACTGCTGTTGCCAAGACTGTTGATTGTGGAACCGAGTAAACTGAAATTGTTAATAATCTCTATCTATCACGATTGTCCAGAGGTGAGAATCTTTGTTATCTTGATGTTGAGTTTTGATCCATATTGCAAAGTACAGTCCTTGAGCCTTTGACATAGATACTTCAGGCCCTCCTCAGTTTCAGCAACTATCATCTGTATAACGCAAGTTGTTGATGAGTCTTCAGCCAATCCTGATGTCACATTACTTCTCATAAAGTCCAGCCTTTGCAATGATCTGTCTACATCTAGATTGTAAAGGTATGGAGACAGGACACATCCCTGACACAGTCCTTTTCTGATTTTGAACCATGCAATGTTTCCTTGTTCTGTTGTGACGACCGCCTCCCAGTCCAAGTATAGGTTTCACAAGAGCACAATCAGGCGTTCTGGGATTCCCAATCTGCGGTAAAATCATTTTCTAAGGGCACTTAACTCCCAAGTGGAGAATCTATATTTAAACCTATAAAGCTCAAAATTCTCTTAACTTTCAACCACTGAGAAGTTTTACACCTGGTGAGGTCTGCGTGGAAATGCCTGGCTGACCGGTCCTGGGGCATTTCGCCGCAAGGGAATCCCGACCCTGGCGGCGCGGGACTAGGAACAGCCCCTGCATCTCTTGCTCCGCCCCCCGGCCCTTTTAGGAGGCTCAGGCGCAGGGGAGGGGGGTGGGCAGGGAGGAGCCACGGCGCATGTGCACAGCTGGCCGCCCCCTCCCCCTCCCCCTTCGCACAGCTGGGAAGTCCGCTCAGTCCGGGCTCTCAGTTGGGGGAGCCGGGCTGGGAGGACGCACCGGCGCTCTCCCATTTGCAGTGGGAGCTTGCCTGCCCCTCCACCCGCCCTGCAGTCTGTTGGCCCGCGCCACTCCGGGTGGGCCATGACCCCGCTCCGATCGGATCCCGTGCGATGGTGCTTGGCGCTCCTGCTTTGCTGCAGCTGGGGGGTGCTGGAGGGGGTCTCCCCGAAACTGGGTGGCGGGGGCGGCGGCGGTTGCCCGAGCCGCTGCCTGTGTTTCCGCACCACGGTCCGGTGCATGCATCTGATGCTGGAGACCGTGCCCGCCGTGGCGCCGACGACCTCCATCCTGTAAGTTTAGTCCTGGGCGAGGGAGGGTCGGGACCCCTCTGCTGCCTTTGTCTGCCTGTCCCGGCTGCAGAGGCACAGGGTGCAAAGCCGGACCTAAGGCACAGCTCTGCGTGCTGGCCGCTGGCTGCAGCCGCCTTTGTTGGAAACTCCAAATTCCACCGCTTAATTTGGAAGTTGTGGGAGAAGCCAGGGAAATCCCCGCTGGTCTCCCGCTGGGTTCCTCCCACTCCTCTATTGCTTGCGCCCATTACCTCCTGCTGTTCCCTCTCAGTTCTTCTTCCACCGCCTCGACCTCATCCTCACCTATGGGCCCCCCTCTCTTCTCGTTCTTTCCCTGCGCTTTTTCTAGCTTTCCTCACTCAACTCAAGGGAGCGCAGTTTGTTCGACTCCTTCCCTGCGCTGCGGAAATGTTGGCTGCCCCATTATTTTACCTGCGGCCCTACCTTGCAGACCCTTCCCCAGCCAGATTCTCCACATCCTTTCAGGTGTTTTAGAGATCTCAAGTCCAGAGGAGTGTTGTTGTGGAATGCAGGGACTTTTACTGTTAGGTTTGCTTCCCTTTCATTTCCCCCCAGGCTGGTCTGTGAAATTGCCCAGGAAGGGGCCTTGTCGCGGTTTACTGAATTCTGGAAAGCCGAATCCGATCAAGGTGGAAACCCCGAGCTACTTAGAGGAGGTTTAGGGACACTACCTACCTATCCGTCCTATGCAAGTCTTTCTTTTTACTTTGTAACCTGGGTTTTCCATATCCATTGCATGTTCTAAACCTTATTACTAACATGTCACCGTAAAATTAATAAACTCTGGTACAGCATACGTGCTTCGAGGACCTTACACACGCAAAAATGACAAACTTTCGCTCACTCTTGTGCCCACCTTGGGCTCCCAAAAAGAAGAAATTCCCATCGTTTTTTTTGGAGAGTTTTCTTCAGTACCAAAGAGCCACCAGAGTTCGCTGCAGGACTTGGTGTATTCTGATAGGACTTTGATGGGGTACTTTGGAAAAAAAAAATCTGTAGAGTGTAGGCGTTCATTTTGAGTTTTGATTGTAATTCAGTGCCCTATAGCGGCCCTTCTGAATGCCAAAAATAGTTTTCCCTTTTTTTGGCTGAGCTAGAAAGCTTTTGGCACCACAGGAGAGGACTGCAAAAGTTGTAAAATTTTTAGTGAACTATTCAGGAAGTGAGTGGTTAATGTTTCTTACATTTAAAACAAAGTGCATTGACAGAACACCGTGCTTCGTGGTCGTTGAGTTTTTAGGGGGAGTTCCTGCAGGATCCCTTGGGAAGCTGGATGATTCTTAGCCTTTGAAATAGCTCCTTCCTAAAGAGGAAACATTGCTTTTCAGAGCGTTTGAATGGTCAGCAAAAGCCTCATAGCTATGAGGGCGATGGAGTTTATAAAGTAATGGATTTTTAAAACAGGACAGGGTGAGGTTTCTCTGGATATGGATACTTTCAATTCTTTAGTGAGTCAGTGGAAAAAACTTGGACAATGAAGCCATTATTCATATCTGGCTGAAGAAGAATACTTCTAATATGCTTAGCCCCCAAATCATAAATACTTTGAAGGAAAACGAAAACAATAAAAAAAAAATCCTTAAACTGTGTTTATAATGCAAAAATGGGTCCTTTGCCATCCTCCACTTGGTAAGATGTACAAAATGGAAGCATTTGCACAAGGAGCCAAAGTGCCAGAGTGAAGTGATACTCAGCAGTTGGAAGATTCGCAGCAACTTAAACCTTGTGTTTTTATAGTTTACAGAGATGTCGACCTCATAGTAAGAAGCTGTGCTGCCATCCCAAAGGCAGGTGGTTCAAATCCGCCAGTTGCTCTGAGAGAAGGATGGGCAGCCTCCTCCATGGGATCTACTGCCTCTGAAAACCCACTGGAGGGTCAGCTATGAGTCAGTCACAACTTGATGCCACACAGCCACAACAGCACAGAAACGCTGTGACATTACTTCATATAATCCCACCAGTTCTGTGAGGAAGGCAAAAATAGGTGTTAAACTGACCAGATCCTTTAGAGAACTGAACAAATTATCAGTGGAATGAACGCATAGGTATTTTACAAAGGTGAAAACACAGTAAAGGGAACCACTCACTGTAAAAACATTCACAACTAAGGGAATACAGCTCACATTCCTATTATTAGAGACGTGGAAGAGTGTAGTAGCTGGAATTGTCTTTGCTTGACATGTTCCAGCTCGAAGACACAAAGCTGGTCACCTGACCTATGTATGGGAGACCTTAAAGTTATTGATCTATGAACTGAAGATGGTAAAAAGGTAAAAATGATTGGATACCATTTGAGAAATAAATGTTTCCTGTTGAATGTACACCAGGCAAAGCAGGATAACAAGGGAAAATTAGACAAGGGAAGGGAGACTTTGCAGGGACCTTGGTGTTAATGTGATAAGGGGTTGATTGGGTAGTTTCTTAGTGTCACATTCTCCCAGTACAAATTGCACACATACAGAAGTATTTCATTTTTAGCTCTACCCAGCCCCAGGTCTCTGCTCTCATATTCATAATAATATTTTGGGGGGAAAAAGTTTTTTTTTCATGTAATTATGATCATTTGAGGAAAACAGAGAAGCTGGCCCATGTCCATGCAGGAGCTGGTTGGACTGTTCAGCGTGCATATCACCCCTGTGCTTTTAAGGTGTGACCAAAGAAAAAGGAGATGGAATCAGATGTTACTGGAAAATATTAGATGTTTCCTCCCTCCACATTGTTTCAGGACTGTGCTCAAACCAGACCTAATCTTGTTTTGATTTGCGGTTTGGGGCAGAAAAGAATGGAGTAAGACCACCTTGTGATTCAAGTTTGGTTTGACCCTTGAGATTCCCTTGAAGTGTAAAGTATAATGTGTGTACTGGAGTAAACATCAGCCACATGACCTTCGATATTTGCCTCCTCAGGGCCCTGTGTGGTTTTGCTGGTATGCTGTTCTCCAACTCTTTAAGACAACTTGCTCTCAAGATGCATTACTTCGTTTTCACTCAGATCTCTGTACAAATTAATTTCTAATATAAATATATCTGGATATAATATAATATCATTTAGGAACTGTGGGCAGTTTGGATTCACTAGCTGCTGCTCAGTGGAAGAAAGTGGAACCAGTCTGCTCTGGTTAAGATTTACCACCTCAGAAACCCAATAGAGAGTCCTCATCAGTTGGAGTTGACTTGTTAACACTGAATGGTGTTTTTGGGAATATTATATGTTCAAAAGTGCCCTGGTGGCATAGTGGTTAAACTATTTGACTTGTAATTGAAAGGTGGGTATTTTGAACATTCCAACAGCTTCTTGGGAGAAAGACATGTTGGTCAGCTTCTAAAAAGGTTGAAGTCTTGGAAACTGGGACAATTCTTCTCTGACAGTGGGCTGAGAGAATTGTTTTGAGGGCATTAGTTTTGGTTTTTCTAGTATACCATATTCACTGCAATTCACAACGTTAATGAAAAATTTATACTGGAAATTAAATTATAATTTCCTACCCAGCCTCTTTCCTCTCAACCTTGGCCTTTTTAAGAAGAAAACATTTAAACATTCTTTCTCCAGAGTATTTCTGTTCTGATAGTCAGACCACAGGCTTTCACATTCATCCATCTTCACATTTAATTGCTCTTCATATTTGTCTGCCATTTCCTGAATTCCTTTCTTTTCTCTATACCCTCCACTGCTGAGGTCATGGGAATCAACTCTAGAACTAACCTCTATGTTAGGCTACGCTGAAGTCATGGGAGTGATTGCAGACCACAGTCAGTGTAACAGGAAACTCTTGTGCTGGAGGAGCTCGGGTGGCATGGTGGTAAGGAGCGGTTCTGCCAACTCAAAGGCAGAAGGTTCAAATCCACCAGCTGTTTGTTGGGAGAAAGGTGAGCAGTTATGAGTCGGTTCAGACTCACATAACATCAGCCATTTGTCTTTTTTTTCAGTAGAAACCTCTATTTTTTTTACTTTAAAAATTATATTGGTTTGCATACAAAATTTGTATACATTGTGTTTTACTCATGTATATTATATTCTACATATTCCTCAATGTATAATGTTTCTAATATAATCATTTCTATACACAGTGTTTTATAAAATTAATTGCCATTGATTTATGCCCACTATCACCTAATTTTTCAGGTCCCCACTGGATCTATCCTAATTCCTTCACACCTGCCCTCTGTCCACCAAACTCTGAGATTCTGTGATCTCTCCACATTTTTGAATTCTTTACAAAAACCCGAAGAACTGATTCCTTACGATTGATTCTTTAGACTGTACAGTCTAGTTGAAGATACTGAGAAGTTAGGAGAAACTTTCAAAGGAGTGATGATAATGACCAATGACCAATTACCAAACAAGGAATTAGAAGCCTTTGTGAGAGTGAAGAAAGCTACTATACTATTTATTATAGTCTGGAGCAGAATCTATCTTCTGCAAGGGGTTGACAGTCCTAGTGTTGCAGCTAACCTCCTCCTCATGTAGCTTCATGGGTTCTTCACCTTTCTTTTTTTTTCCTTTTTAAATTTATTATTAATTTCAATGAAAATTTACAGAGACTTTTGATTTCCATTCATTCATTGTTGCACTTTTCTCCCCTCCCACCTCCAGTACACTCCCCTCTTGGAAAAGTAAAAGAAAAATTCTTTCATTGTTTTACAATCCCTACCCCCAGGTCCACTCCACTATGCAGCCTTTGCTCTGAACTCCCGTAATGACAAAAATATCTAATCACATATCCCTTCTAAACAGTTTTCTCCCTCATCTGTTTCAATACTGTATACATTATTAAACTTTT